GAACTCAGGTCTCTCACTTGCAAAGCGAGTGCTCTAACCACTGAGCTACAGGACTCCACAATGGGAATGGGACAGAGAAAAATTATGACCTTTGCTGTGTTAAATTAACAATAGTTAACCCGTAAATATTGAGCACGTGGGTGAGATATGGTTTTGGGGCAAACAGCCAAACTTTGACCAGAAAAGAGGGGAAAAACAAACACAACAACAACTTCCACTTATATAGCGCCCTCCATGCAGGGTAGCAGAGCGCTTATGAAACTCAATCAGGGCACAAATGAAACTCCTTCAAGAGATGAGGTGGGGAGCAAATTGACAGCAAAAAAATAATATCCAAGACCAAGGACGATGTCTGTTTATATAACCCATCAGTGATGGGACTCACTGCTTTAACTGAAAGCTGCACTCACTAAAGGTATCTTTTCAATTGAGGTGTGAATTATATGGGTCGCATTCACAGAGTTCATTAACCTGTTCCTTGTTAACTTGTTCCTTGTTAACCTGTTCCTGTACAAGAAACAATTTGTAAGAAATATTTTACATGATATCCCACGTTGGGAAAATTGTGATATTCCTAAACACAGCCGTTCCTTAATTATTGTTGTTCCTGAATTAGGGATCGTTTTACGGACTGGACGGGAATTTCAATTTAGTTAGTATTCCAGCAATAAAGGAAAGGAAAGCATGCAGGAGTGGTACGTTTTCCTTCTATTTAGGAATAACATTGATGCTCTACTCCACAAGTGGCTGAAGCAAGACTTTTAATCCCATCAGCTTCCTTGGATCTTTCAGGGCACGGCCCCTCGCAACAGCAACTTGCATTTATATAGAACCCTTCACACAGGATAGCGTCCCAGAAGTGCTTCACAGTGGCGGAGTCTTGACACTGAGTTAATATCCAGGGGGAGAGGGATTGCCCCTTGTAATTGAAACAAATCAGGGTTCCCTCGATCAGCGGGTACGAAGGTGTAGTGGGGTGCAACACGTGTCCCTGCTAACCCTTGGAGAGAGAGGAGAGCATTTCAAACAGATCCTGACTGGAGTTGAACCAGGTGAAGTGTGACTGAAGTGAAGCCCGTTATGAGAATATGGCTTCAAGTGCAGAAGACAAAAAGAGCATTGTTCAATCCTGTTTATGTAGCATGTCTTTAGCTGCGATTTACATCTCCACACCCTCGCCCGCCCCCACAACAAGACCCCAACAACAGGAATTGGTAAATGGAAAGATTAAGAAAAGGTTTGGGTCACTTGTCATGTGACTTTGGATAACCTGCAGGATCTGCTTGTTAGCAGGCTTCAGCCCTTTCTCACGTTGATGGGTGGCAGTGTGCACCGATCCGTGCCCGACCGTTCCCTCACACTCTGCCAGATCAAGTGCTGAAGATGTCAGGGAGGGTTATGAATAGCTCGCAGTACCCCTCCCATCAGCACTCCTGATGCTAATAAGCGTGTGGGAGGTATTCTCTGATGCAGCCAGCCCAATGCATGAGGTTCACGGCCGGGTCAGGGCACCTCACAGATTGTTTCATCAAAGATAATCTGAGAGCCTCGTGCACAGTAGTGAATGAGAAAAGTCACACAAGGGCTATGCTGGGGTGCAGGGCATCTGAGCATCAATGCAGCACACTGTGTAGTGACGGCATGGCGCAGCACATAGTGCTGAAGGAATAATTTATTATCATTAATAATAAAAACATTAACACCAATAATTATTAATAATAATAACAGTAATTAACCATAATTCTTACACTCAGTATAGTGCCTTTAGCATCAGGAGGACATCTCAAACTACTTCACAAGATATACTGTAAAATGGAGTGACTATTTTGTAGACAAATGTCTCACAAACAGCTATAAAGTTAATGAGTAATTTAATCTTGCGGATTGTTATCCAGCATATTGGGGATAAACTCCCTTCTCTTTTTGAGTAGTGCCGTGGGATCTTTTAACATCAATTTGAACAGGCAGACAGGATATTGGGATTTGAACCTATGACCCTCTGGTCTGTACGGCCAAATACTATGTCTTTGTGCTTTCACCCACCACCTGCGCTTTCAGCAGATGTATTTGTTTAACTGTGTAAAAGGTTAATTTCAGACCAGGGATAAGAATTCATATTTTTTCAGGTTCTGGCTGGTTGTTGGTATCGAGACTGATCGAGATGAACAAAGAGCTGGCCCTATTGAGCTTATTTATTTTTGCTGTCTTGATACGTGTGGCTGAGACCGGCACCTCTTAAATCGTACTGCAAATAAATAGGAGGAATAGCTGCTGTTAGCATTATCACTGCAGATGTAGTTTTAGCAGAATTATCAACACCAGCAGCATGATAGCAGCATGTGATGTCTCCTCCATATTGTTGAATAGATTCTTCATGCCGAAGCTGTCGTCATTCCTCCATTGCTCTTTGCAGTAAGTTGACTGGCTATTGATCCATCAGCAAAGCCGAATAAGGTTGTTTTTTCACTATCAGCGCTCCTTCTGCTGATAAGTGGATGGTAGTTATTTTCTGCTGTAATCCAACAGATGAAGTTCAGGCTCGGTCAGAGAAATGGGACTTCTGTTTACAATTGACTTCTCTCTCTTGCTCGCTCTCTATCTCTCTCTCGGGAAGGGATTGTGCTGTGTCACCTCACACTCCATCAGTCTTTGAGGGAAAGCCCCAATTTAAAACTGCTGACTTTCCGACTCAAAGTAAAGGTCAATACATAATACATAAAACAGTCAGCCCGCTTGCAATGTCAAACAAACTAAATGAGCGACTGCAAGCTTCAGGCTTGAAGCTGAAAGAATCACTCTAGGTTACAAATATAAATCCACCACAATTTAAGCAGAAGCATTTCTTCTGCTCGGTCTTACAGTTTCTTTTCATTGCTTTGCTAATTCAATCACAGTTCTTTTCCCTTTCCCAAGTTGATGTGATGCAGATGAGCAAGACACATGTGAAAGGCATCTCAATCAATCTAAATTTTCTCCAGGTGTCCATGCAAATGGACCAGCCAATTGGAACTAATGTGGTCTGTTTGAAGCTTCCATCACGACTATGCTACTGTACAGCATTGTGGCTATTTAAATTGGGTTTCCATCGAGATATTCATTTGAGGATTGAAATTTCTTGAGGTCTTGGCCTTAAGATCGTTGTCTTAAACCGCGAGATCCTGCCACAATGTTTGCAATGTTTCAAAGTGAAGTCTCAACCTGGAAGCCGGTTTGCCACAGCAATGAAAAACAGCTTCCAAATTCAGACTGAATTTAAACACTTTCAAAATTCTATACACTTTAAAAAATTGTACACTGTTAAAGCAATGGCGATGGTTTTAAGACTAAGACTATGGGCTGATTTGGAGCCTCAATAATCCTAGCATTTCATATAGTGCCTTATCCCATCATCGAGACATCTCAAAGTACTTCACTCTAAAGTGTAGTGACTGTGTATTTTACAGGTATAAGGTGAGCGTGACAGCAAACAACCATAAAACAGCCAGCTACAAATGTATGCATGTGACATATCCTAAATTGTCTGTATACTATATACTAAATAATATACTAGGTATATTGTATGCTGTCTATATTGTGTGTGCTGTCTCCACTGTATGGATGTTGTATGCTGTCTGTACATATTACTATATGCTGCCCACACTGTATGCATGTTGAATGCAGCTGATACTGTATGGATAGTGACAATACTGGATACAGCATGCTGGGATTATGATTTGTAGGATAGCTTACCTTTCATCCATTTATAGTTTCATCTCTGTGAAGCTGCAGCTGATTTGGATGTGTGTCAGTTTACTGAGATTGCATTTAAAAGCACTTTAATGTGAAGGAGTTTATAGCTGCCCTGTTGGTGGAAACAGCCACTGTTATTCAGTTATTCAGATCAGAAAGCTACGAATCTTGGTCGGTGCTATCTTTGCTCATCTTTAACATGTAGCAGTTGGAGTTGGGCGAAATGTTAGGCAAGTTTCCTTACTCCACATGCCTCTGATTATCTAGTATTAAGTAGGAACAGTGTTGTTAGTTAATTGGCGGATTGCTTTCCTGGGGTAACAATCCCCTAAAAAAAAATAGTTTGGCTACTCAATCCACAACTGTTTGGCTGCCGTGTTTCGCCCACAAAATATATACTTTACAGTATATTCTGTGAAGCTCTTTGAGACATCTCGATAACGTCATAAGGTACTATATCAAATGCAAGGATTATTATTATTGTAGTGGGATATGAATGTGTATGCGTGGACATTGTGTGAAGATAGTATCAGATTCAGCGACGATACCCCTCATGGTTGAGCAGTTTGCCGACATTCACTGTCTGAGCACACACAATTGGGCGAGAAGAGTGGAGAGTGAGTATGAGCCCTGTGGGATCGTACCCCAGTTGAAGGAAGGAGTTAAAACAACTATAGGAGATAAAGTGCAGAGAGGAGAAAATTGAAGGAGATAAAGCAGCGAAGGTGTTCTGGGTTTGTGTGGTTCAGCACTTCGTCTGGATCAGCTCTTAATACAGGACTTTGTTCATTCCTCCTCGTCACTCTCCTGCTTGTTGTCCTTGACTCAGAGAGGGCATTCACACTGAGCCTAAAGCTGCTTTTATACATCTGGAATGTATGAAAGTGGAGCGTGGTTTATACTTCCTGTAGTACATTATGTGGAATATGGTCCCGAAAGAAACTAAATACTGAATCTGGGCTTCCCGCTGCAGGCGCTTACAAGAACTGGCTAAAGTGTAATTGGTGCAGTCTTTTAAGTTTTGTTTGGTACTGCAAGTTTGCAGGCAATTTGTTGTCAAACGTGCAATGGGAACACAGCATAAACCACGTATTTGTTTACATGTGGGAAGGCATTGACAACCAATGCCCCATTTCTTCAGCGTGTAATCTATTGGTTTGGTGCTGCTTTGCGTGAATCCGATCAATACAAGGTTACATTACCCAGCAACTGAGCTAGAGCTGCTTGAAACAATGTGACTTACTTACGTTCCTTTCTCTTTGTTTTCCCAGCACCACCAAAGTTTACAAGAACTCCCATTGATCAGACCGGAGTCTCAGGAGGGGTTGCGTCATTCATCTGCCAAACCACAGGAGACCCCAGGCCCAAAATTGTATGGTCTAAAAAGGGAAAGAAAGTCAGCTCTCAGCGATTTGAGGTACTGAAATCCATCGTCTCAGTAGCAGTCAAATGCTTTTGTGAAGTTCTCACCATAAATCTCTCACTTGCATACTTTTGTTTCTTCACCAAGAGGCTCTACGCTTGAAAGTGTTAAACACGCTTGAGTTATCGATGTAGAAGCGGGCTATTCATTACAACCAGGACTTCTAATCATTCAACCCATTTACGTCAAATTGGTAGTTTTTGAAACTTAAGTTTAATCCATAAGTATATTTCTGTTGAATTATTGGCTTCTTTTGAGTTGACACCTAATTCCGAAATGTTCCTGAGGGAACATGAAATTTAGCGATGTGATGAATTCAGTGAGGAACAAGAAAATCTCAGGTTAACACTTGTCAAAACATAATAATAATCCTCACTTTTAATATGGAGTTTTTCATGTCGGGGGGATGTGTCAAAGCACCTCAGAGGATTTACTGTAAATTGTAGTGACGTGTGTATTTTGTAGGTAAAAGCAGCAGCTGATTTGCACAAGGCAATGTCCCACAATCAACCATGAAACAGCCAGCTTCAGGTGGCTGCTGTCAGTTCTGTGACTTCAGAGAATGTAAAACAGATCCAGCTCAAATTGGTAACTTATCCTTCTCCCTCCTGTCTATATAGCTGAGTCGACTTGGATCAAGTAAGGCAATGATTTTAGCAACGGGTTGTTTGATGCACGTTTGCTCAAATCGTTGCTTTACTTAATACAAGCCAACACGCATTTGGCATCCAAGTATTTAAATAAGCTGACACTTTTGCTGGAATGAGTTTAATGATAGAACCTTGGAACTGATCGAAGTCACCTGACCCCAGGAAAGCACTAAATAATCCTATCCACACCAGTGTTTGAGATCTAGAAAAAATAAAATTCACTCACCTACCAACGTCAGTACATTTACAAAATTTACTGAAATGCTCTGGGATGCTATCGTGCATGAGGGGCGCTATATAAATTCAAGTTGTTGTATCATTCCCTTGCACACTGTGTTTACCACCGCTGATCACGATCTACCCCTCACCGTGAACAACCTGTGTTTCCTCTGTTGCATTTTGATAAACATAAAAATATTCTAACTGGGGATGAATGGAACTGAAGTATTACAAGGTTCAACGTACCGTTTGAAACAAAAAAAGTGATTCATTTTTCTTATTTTTAGAAAAAAAGAGCCTTTGACAGTTTTCTTGTGATCGGGGATATAAATATAGATATTTGTTGCAACAAAGAAGGCTTGCCCAGATCCCATCTCCATCTCTGCACATTCTGCAGTCTTCACTAATGGGTATGATTTAGAACAGTGGTGGCCAACTTGTGTACCATGGACTGATAGGGAGGGGTCATTAAGAAGTGCCCCCACCCCCCCAGAACATTCGCACAAGTCTAGCTATACTCGTTGCTGAAAGAGTGATGACTCATTTTGTGCACCAAGGGAGCTGGATGGCTCTCTACGCACATCACGGTGATATAACATGGTTTTCAAGTTCTGCATTAGAAAGGGGATTCCACTATATGTACTGGCCGCCCGACCAGCACTGAGCTCAGAGACTCGGATGACGCTCAAGTGCAGTAGAGGGGGAGGGAGGTGGGGGAGCACTGCATTATCTGAGGTATCATCTTTCGGAAGTACATTAAACAGAGAGCCTGTCTGCCATTCAGAAAGACATTACACATCCCCTGAGACTATTTGAAAAGGCCAAAGGCCAACAATCCTCCAAATTAATTTATATTCTTTACCGCCTGACTGTTGGTGGGACTTTGGTGAGGTAACTGTCTGCATATTTGCTTGAAAAAACAGTCACTACACCTGACAAACTACTTGTGAATCATTTGTAGACTTTTTGCGACAATTTGCTGTGAAAACACAAGTTCTTTCTTGACTGGGCATTTCTGCAGATGAAAGTACATTGCCTTAAAATATAATATTGCACAGAAGTTTGGAAATATTTATTTGAAAGTTGGTTTTCACTGCACAAAACCGATCTGCAAGGGAAGATTTAAGACTTAAGGTTATGAGGAGGAGGAATTTCAGTCCTCAGGTCTGTTCCGAGCTGATCGATCTGGTTTTCCTGACTCAACAGAGATTCTCTGAGATGATCATGCTTTCAGTCATCCTCCCATCTCTACAACCCTTACTTTCAACCACGCTTGACTTCAACTCCCAGCTCAGGTGCAAGCCCTTCACTGTCCAGCACCTGATGGGAGAGGCACTAATACTATTTTGTTGTTATTGTTTAGATGGGACCAGATTTTCTCCCAACCATTGGGGTGGCCTGGGAATGAACAAGGCAGGACTCGAGTAATATAGAAAAGTGAAATGATTATTGTACAGTGAGGTTTTTTTTATTCCTCGAGCGGAGGACTTTGAACAAAAAACCCAAGCTTTAGATTTTTACTATCTCTGGTTACTGTCAATCAACTGGCCTTAGGTCTAGCCGGAGGAATGAACATAGCCTGTCGCATTCGTGGTAACAGCCTTACCTATTTCACACGAGGATAGAACGGTGTTTAGACCCCTCTGTCTTCTGTCCTCAATATGATTCACAGTCAGCATTGAAATTCAGTCTCAACCACAGCATCATTATTCTGTCATTCTACCCAGCTTCACATACATCTGAAGCACAGTGTACGATGTGAGTGTTACAAAGACCATTGTGTCTATTCTGTAGAGAGAACAAAGATTGCCAGAACATACAGTCAGTTGTTGGTGTTCTTTGATCCAAAACTTTGGGTGAACATGTCATGAAGTAGAGAAGACTTTAGTGGTCAGACCTGTACAGGAGAGTGGTGGGGTGAAAGAGCTTTCAAGATTTTGTTAGATTTTTATCACCTTGAAATTTCTCGAAGCAACTGCTGTGAAGTGTAGTAACTGTGTTACATTAAATAGCGTATCAAGACAGCCATTTGGAAGGTCCAACAAACAGCCATAAGTTGAATGATCGAACAATCTGGAGCATTATTGGCCTGGACACCGGGAGAAACTCTCTTCTCTTTTCAAATAATACTACAGGAGCCTCCCGAACAGGCAAATAAGACCTTGGTTTATTTTTTTAGCTGAAAGACGGCATCTTCGACTACGCAGCCCTCTCCCCAGCAGTGCATTGGAGGGCCAGCCTAGACTGAGCTCAAAGAGCTGATGTGGTAAGGAGAAGATGTGTATTGACAAGCCTGGTTCAGGCTTACAAGCTCGGCTGACGTTTGTAAGGCAAGCTCATAGAGCAAATGCACACATTCACAAGCCTTTCATTTGGAAGCGGCTACAAATAAAGCTATGAAATTTGACCGAGTGAGGTTGTCATTCTCAAATAAGCCGACCTTCCTTTCACAAGGCTTTGTAAGAGTTACTAGTGATATGGGAAACCCAGTAAATGAAGAAAGGTGAGTGACTCATCCTCTACATTTGTATTCTGGGCTCAGGTTACACACTCACTACTCCAATAGAAATTTACAACTCTTTATGGGTCTCACGCTTTGGGTTTAGTGCTGGTCTCTTTGAACCATGATAAAGATTGAGAACATGAAATTTATAGTTTGTTTTGTGGTGCTGTTACGAGCCTGTGCTTGTTGCTTTACAGACACAACAACAACAACAACAAAATTACATTTGTTTAGCGCCTTTCACATTGGGAGGAGATCCCAAGGCACTGGACAGTCAGAGTTTCGGACCTGAGCTGGGGGTTGTGATTGGGGAGGGTGGAAGCCGGAGGGGAAGCAGGGTGATCGAAAGCACAGTTGAAGAGGAGGGTCTTGAGATGGGTCTTGAAGGAGGCAAGGGAGGAAGTGAGGTGGAGGGACTGCGGGATGGAGTTCCAGAAGGTGGGGGCAGCATGTCAGAAGGCCTGCCTGCCAATAGTGGGGCTGGTGAGGCAGGGGATGTGAAGTAGGCTGGAGCCCGCCTATGGAGGAGTTGGGAAGGCCGACAAGCAGGGAGTTTGCATAGTCAAGCCTTGATGTAATGAAAGCGTGTATGAGGGTTTCGGCGGCCTGCAGTGTGAGACAGTGGCGGAGCCGGGCGATGATGTCTGACAGACATTCTATCAGGACATCAGTGGTCCTGGAGTCAAGGGTGGAGGAAGAGAGGTATAATGGGATGTCATCTGTATACATGTGCAAATTGACCCCATGTCTATGGATGATATCACCAAGAGGGAGCACATAGATATTGAAGAGGAGGGGACCAAGGACAAAGCCATGAGGAATGCCCTATGAGACAGTACAGGGGCTAGAGGAGAAACCATTTGAGGAGATGAAGTGGAGACGGTGTGAGAGGTACAATTTGAACCAATCAAGGACAGTGCGGTGGAGGTTGAGGTGAGAGGAGGGGTGGTGGTTGGGGATAGAGTGGTCGACAGTGTCGAAGGCAGCAGAGAGGTTGAGAAGGACGAGGAGGCAGAGTGAGCCCTGGTCGAAGATTGTCAGAATGTCATTTGTCACTTTAGCAAGGGCTGTTTCTGTGCTGTGGGCGGAAACCCCATTATTGGAGCGGTTCATGAAGCGAGTGGCGGGAGAGAAAGGAGTGAAGCTGAGAAGCAACAACTCATTCCAGGACCTTGGAGAGGAAAGAAAGGTTGGAGATTGGGTGTTAGTTTGAGAGTAGAGACAGGTCCAGGGAGGATTTTTTAAGAATAGGAGTGATGACGGCCGTTTTTAATGGGGTGGTAACAGTACCAGTGGACAGGGAGAGGTTTATGATGTCTGCGAGTAGAGGGGCAAGGAGGTGGAGCTGTGAGGTAAGGAGAGGAGTAGGGATGGGACCGAGGGAGCGGGTGGTCAGTTTCATGCAGGTTATAGTGGTGGTGAGAGGAGTTGGAGACAGGTTCAAAGGCGTGGAGGGAGGGATGGGTTAGGGCCGGGGTGAAGAAGTTGATGGGGAGGGTGTAGCAGACGGAATGGCAGAGGCAGCTGAGCGGATCCCCTCGACTTTGGATTCGAGGAAGTCCAGCATTGCCTCACAGTTAGCATTTGAGGTGAGGATGGGCAAGGCATGAGAGGGTGGGCAAAGGAGCCGGTTGGTGATGGAGAAGTGGAGCCTGGGGTTGTCCTTGGCCTCCAAGATTGTCTTGGAGTAGAAAGACGATTTAGCGGAGGTCCTGGGTAAGATATGGTCCAGCCAGATATGCCGATGGACCATTAAGTTTGATTTAAGCCAGGTGCATTTAGGACCTGAGCTTTAATGGAGTGAAGGTTGCTGGTCTACCATGGTGACTTACGTGAATCGGAGACGGTTCAGGAAGAGAGGGGAGCAAGGGAATCGAGAGTGGAGGAGAGGGAGCTGTGGAGAAGAATGACAGAGGAGGATAGGTCATTGCGGGGGAGGCCTAGAGGGGAAGGAGTTCAGCTAACTCCAAGGCAGCCGGGAGGGAGGGGGGGAGATTTTTTTCCAGGAGTGGTAGGAGATGGAGGTAGGTTAGGTGGTGGTGGGGAGAGGGATTGAAGAGTTAAGCGATGAAGTGATGGTCCAAGATTGCTTTGTCGATGATGGTGAGGTCTGAGACGGTGAGGCCCCAAGTGATCACCAGGTCAAGGGGATGTCCGCGGACAAGGGTGGTGGTGTGGATGTGGAGGGAGAGGTTGAGGGAGGATATGAGGGAGGAGAAGTCAGCAGAGTTAGAGCAGGAGGTGGTGAAGTGGAGGTTGAAGTCGCCCAGGATGAGGAGGCATTCGGAGCAGAGGAAGAGAGAAAATAAGAGGGTGGAGATGTCGTGGATGAAGGTGGGAGAGGGCTTGGGGGGTGGGGGTGCGATAGATAAGGAGAATTTTAAGGGAAAAGTTAGAGAGGTGATAAAGCATAAGGTGCTCAAAGGAGGAGAAGGTTCGAGAGGAATAAGGGGATAGGCCGAGCGGGGACCAGAAGATGAGAGTCACCACGGTGCTTAAGTCGGGGGGTGTGATGGAAGGTATGACACAAGCTGTTACTATTTTGTACTTACGTTTTCTGCCAAAAAAAACAAATAAGAACACGATATTGGGGTACCTTGCAGTGTTCAGTAATAATTTCATGGCAGCATTGATGTTGAACACCCTGATGTTAAATCATTGTACATTTTTAAATTTTACTTCATTGCCATTACTGTTATATTTTAGAGTTTAGCTAAATTGATACTTAGACTGTTGAGCGAGGCAGGAGAACCTTTTATTTCTATTTCTGACTGTAGCTCCTGTGTTACTAAGCTGTGCCTGTAGTTCCTTTGTTACTAAGCTGTGCCTGTAGTTCCTGTGTTAGGAGCATCTGCTGGTACTATCTGTAGCACCAATACATGTACCAATGTTCTGTGTCTCTGAATGGAAAATGTATGAGGATGGTTGATGCAAGTGCATTTGTTGAAGATGTAAAATTTCCTAATGAAAGATTTCCCCTGCGGGATCTTCAGATTGTCTGATCCATTATGTCGGGAGGATATCTTCATTTGTAGGCTGAGGGATAGTGCTCTCAATTCAAAGCAATCAGCTCTTTCTCAGACTAACCACCCACTGCCAAACCACTTCACAGCCAGGAGGTTTTTGTTTGCAGCAACCAGCAGTGCCAACTTGGTGATAAAGTGGGTGACAAGGTCAATGCTTGGCTTTGAGATAAAGCTAATGCACCAGTGTGTTTCCAGTTTTCACTCACGCCAACATTAGGACATGGATGGGCTGTTTCCGTGTTGGTGAGTCTGAAACAAGAGGGCGTAAATATGAGGTAGCCAGTAGCTGATCTAATAGGAGGTTTTGGAGGGACTTCTCCACATAGTGATGGTGAGAATGTGGAACTCACTGCTGGAAGCTATGTTTGAAACAAATAGCATCAATGTTGTTAAGAGGAAACTTGATACAAGATGAGGGATAAAGGAATAGAGGAAGATAGGAGGGGTGGGGGCTCATGTGGAGTAAAAGCGCAAATTAGTGGGACTGAATAGCCTGTTTCTATGCCATGTAATTCTATCACTGGGGATCAGAGCAGACATAAGTTGGCACTTGCAAATAATTGGGGTTGGTTTGCTTGTGCTACTCTTTTCTTGAATTGAGATAGAGTCAAAGAGTGTTCTTATCTCCCAATATTCTTCACGTCCCATGTGCATCTTGGGAATTGTAACTTCCTCCTCATCTCTCTCCCCCCATCCACTTTTGCATTTTGTAGGCAATGTGCTCTGCATTTTCACAGGCCTGTGGGAAGAAATTTCTTCCGATCTCACATCTGACCTCTGTCCCTTGTGTTGTACCCCGCTACCTAAAACATATAAACATATAAAATAAATATAACTCACCACAATTCCTGATGCTGGCAGTTACTGGAGAAGATTGTTGGATTAATGGATGTATTTCTCTGATGAGTGTACTTGTTTTAGGATGTTATTGTTCTTGCTCAGTTTGTTGCTGAACTCAAGACATGGATGAATTTGGTCCCAGGAACAAAATACCTCATCCAGAGACTGCCCCCAGAAATCAGGGATGTATAGTCACCCTACTCGATCTAAATCTGTACCACTCTTGTATTCTGTAGAACACAATTGCATATAGGAACAATTCAATACCCTCTATCAGGGGGACAAATTGCCCCTATTTACTGTGGTTTTCCAGAAGTGTTTCTACTGCCTGAAAAGGCAGCACAGTCCACACACAGCATTACTGATTCAATCATTGTCACTGATCCTTAAACCTGTGCCAGAAGGTTTGCTTGATAATGCAGGGAGGGGCCCATCTACTCCCTTACCACCTGGGACTGACAGGCTATTACAGCTTGCAGAACCAACCCTTAATAAAAGCCTGAGTATAAATATCACTGCTCATAAACAAGCTGCTACTTTTATAACAATCAAATTAATTGTATTAATCCATTACACGTTTGAATCAATTGCTTACTAACCTACATATTGTCAGAGGTTTGCGATGAATTCAAATTTAATTTGACCTAGTGAGTGAAGCCACTGGGCGATGCAGTTCTAAGTCTTACAGACCAGGTTTAATAACCAGTCTGTGTCAAGTTAGGGCATCACAATCACAGCAGCGAAAGAGATGGGAAATTACCTGGCATTCCCACTCCTGATTGCTATCGGAGTCCTGCAGCTCAGTGGTTAGAGCACTCGCTTTGCAAGCGAGACACCTGGGTTCAATTCCAGGCAGCGCGAAACCTTGGGCAAGTTTCCTACTCCACACACCTAATAATAATCCCTCCAAAACAAAAAAAATTGGTCATTTTCAATCCACGACTGGCTGCCACGTTTCGCCCACAAATATACGGTCAATTCACTTTACAGTCTATTCTGTGAAGCGCTTTGAAACATCGAGAAGTCGTGAAAAGCGCTATATCAAAAGCAAGGATTATTATATTATCAGTGAGCTCTGCTGGCAGAGAGGCAGTCATTGTGGACGGATGTTGGTTTGAGCCAACAACAACTTGCATTTATACAGTGCCCTTCATGCACAATAAGGCCTCAGTGCATTTTACAGTGGTGGGATTGAGTGCTGAACAAAGGAGAAGGGAGTTGATCATTGGTTTAGTCAAAGGGTTAGGTTTTAAGATGGGATTTAAAAATACACAAAGAGGATGTGAGATGGAGAGATAGACAGGATCAGGCCCAGCCGGCAAAGTACTGTGACCCACAGTGACATGATTAGCATTTTATGTCTGTTAAGAAATGTTTAACATAAAAAAAGTGAGTCTTTTTTGCTACTTGTTGCTTGTTTATAATGGGATACTGTATTGTGCAACAAAGCTGCCAGGTAAGTTTATGATCTGAGCTTGAAAGTAGGAGAAAATAATAATCCTTCCATTTGATACATCACCTTTCACCTTAGAAGGGCAACAACAACTTGCATTTATATAGCGCCCTTCACGCTGGACGGTGCCTTGGAGCATTTAAGACATCAAGGTCATCTCAAAGTGCTTCGCAGGATTTACTGTGAAGTGGAGAGTGACACTGTAAAGTGTGCTTTGAAGGCCAAAATGGCGCTCGTTTAAAAATGGTAGCACAACATTTTCTAAGACCTTGCTGTTTTCTCTCTGCAGGTAATAGAATTTGACGATGGGTCTGGATCTGTCCTCAGAATACAACCGTTGCGGACGCCACGCGATGAGGCTCTCTATGAATGTGTGGCCTCCAACAGCGTTGGGGAAATAAGCTCAACAACCAGACTTAACGTGTTACGTGGTATGTTCCCTTCAGTGTAGCAAACTTTAACCAGTGTTGGAAAGCAGCCTTAACTTTCTGTGTTCATTTTCAGCTGTTCAGGTAAGCTTTGAAAAGCGCTGTGTTGTGATTCAATGTTTCTCCCGGAAATCGGGTGGTGTGGATTTCACAGTATATGTCCAAGCAGATAAATGCTCGGAGACTGAATTGGTATTGACATTTTTTTTGCACTTGAATGATTTCGGTTGTCGAAATAAAATGCTACTGTATTTTATTTACAAGAGATATTACGGCCGGGCATCACAGCAGATAGATTGCTTTGTTTCGAAGTGGAATTCACAGTCAAGATGAGGAGCAAGTCATTTGATGGCATTTAATTATTTTATTCCATTGAGGTAGTTTGGATTTTTCTTTACCAGTGAGGGCAAACGTGTTGTTTCTTCCATCTCTTCTTCCTGCCCCCCCCCCCTCCCCTTTCCCAGTTGAACCGTTTTATTACATATTCATCAGCGATGACTTTCTTCAATGTAATGTAAAAATTAGTCCAAGTGACTGCCGTGCTCCATCTTAATCTCTTCCATTGAGGACGCCTGATCCACGATAGCTTTGAATTGTGTACTTAGCAGGCGAAACAAGAGGGATAGTATTGGGTCATACGGAAAGTGGTGTTTTGGGAAGCAAAGTGAACATAATTTCATGAACTTAAAATTAAATATCTCTTAATACTGATTGAGAACACAGCAGTCTTCCGTGTCATTGCTTAACACAGTGTGACCAAAATTTGAATGTTTATTGCGATGCTATTTTATTCATACCCCCTTCCCGTGGATAAACAGTGGTGGTGTGCTGTGAGATCGGTGCTGAGCAGTTTATGTGATGGAGTTGAATGAATTCGGGTCTCTCGGTAGGAATGTTAGGGAACAAAGAACAGCTGGTTGTAAAGAACAGACAGAAAGGTTGACAGAATAAAATAAAAGGATAGCTGGCAAGACAGTGCCTCAACTTTGAAGCCTTGTTGCCATTTTTGGTTTAGATATGTATCACTTTGAAGTGTACTTTTTTAATATATATAAAAAGTTTTTATTAATAGACAACTAGGCTCTAGGTGTGTATTGTGATATTGCTCGTTGGCATTCTTGAGGAAAATGTTGCGTATTGTAAAATTATCAGTGGGCACTGTCTTATAACAGTGGGTTTGAGTGTTCCATCATGTGAAAGTGAGTGTTTCACAAAGGCCCTGAGCTTATCATTGAACTATAAAAAAAACTCTTGTTTTATTCTGTCGTTCTACTACTTGCAATAACAGTTTACTGTTTAGAGAGTTGCTCGCACTAGTACTTTGTTTGGTTTAAGCAAATGATGATTAATTTAAGAGTACAACCCATATGCAAAAAGCAGCTTTGACTGATTAAGGATTGCAGACTAAAATTATTAAAACCAGGGTAGTTGGAAGAAATCAGTCATAAAAATAATAAAAGTAATAATCCTTACTTTTGATTCAGTGCATTTTACATCAGGAGAACATCTTAAAATACCGTCACAGGAATTACTATAAATGACTCTGTATTTTTTTGTAGGCCAAGTCATGCAAGGTAGAATAATTTATTTATTACCAGTAAGTGAAATCGAAGGCCTGTACAGGGGCATACATTTGTTTGCCCATGATGTAAATGGTACATGACCAAAAGATTTCAGACCATCAAAAAGTCTATGGGGGAGGGGAGTGCAGGGGAAAGGAAGAAAGCAACAGCTTCAGTCTAAAATAACACAACTGTTGCCTCAAGTACTGTGGATAGCATAAGCTACATTAACTTATAGTCTGCACCAGGTCTGGTTAAGTTACCCTAATTTCTGGGACTCACACATGCAGTCCCTGTGTTGAACTGAACTAAAGGCGAGGTCGGAACTTGTGCAGAACTTGTGGTGTGGCATGTTGGAGGAGAGTTACTCGAAGAGGCTGAGACAGCAGCACTTAAGTTAAGTGCACTTAATTTGAATGGGTACTATTCCTAAATCCCACATTTTAACCAGGATGCATTAGAGGAGAAGGATTTTGTGGCACTGCAAAGGCATTTCACTTCCAGATATGACAGAAATCCTTGACAATGGTCCATCCCATTGCATTTGTGATGATGTGAGGCGATGTCTGAATGAATTTGTAACACATTTCTCTCAGTGCTACAACTTTGTACTGTTACGGTCACCCCTATTTCAGTATAGTGAAAGGAAGCAACAACACACACACAAAAAAAATCAATTTTACAGTTTTATTTATAGACCTGGGCGCTTTCTGCATTTTCATTAAAACGTTCTTCCATCTCTATTCGGAACGTCCCAGAGAGTAAATTGCTGACTCAAACCGAGTGCAGGTGAACCCAGACATTTCCCTGGCACTTCATTGTGGCATGTCAGGAAGGTGGTTCGAAACACAAACAGAGCTGGATAATTTCCCAGTTTATGCTTCACTTCCCCTGGACAGTGGGACCCATGATCTCAGCACCTCACTGGTGGGGAAGAAGAGATAAGTTGAAGTAAATTACGCTCCAATCAGAGCTGTAGGGTTGGGTTTCCCGTACTACCCTCCATCGGAACTGGAATGGTTAGACTGGATCCACTGCTGGACCGGATCAGGAAAATAAAGAAAGTCTAACTTGTGATATTTGTAGACGAGAATGTGAAGCTCTGTTGGTGGTTTCCGCTCGTCGATATTAAAACCTGGCTAATTTGCCACGTTGGCAAAATGGTGAATTGTGATTTGTGAAAGGGGTAAAGGTTCTGTTTGGGATTACACTTGTAGCCTCTGGTGATGTCGGCCACTGATGGGCTTTCCCACTGTCGTTTGGAATTACTTAAAGGCACTGCGCGTAACTCTGAACGGAATTTCTACCCACCATGGTGTGGGATCGGGACAAGGTTGAGTCTGGGGTGGTTTTCTCTACAATTGTAGAATCTGCTGAGGCTCATTGTCTGGGCTCACATTTACAGAAAGTAACTTATCTCATCTCACGTGCCTGTACCCCGGCATAAATCAGCACCCTCGAGAGAAGATGGGAGATGATAATTGAAGGAGGGAAAAGTGAGTGGTGGGAGGGATGAAGAGAGAAGAAATTTTACTTCATTTTAAGTTGCATGCAATTGCCGTTTGTGACAGTGAACAACCTTAATCACAAGCTCAATCATAGAAAGCCTTCTTTTAAACCGTGAATAATCTTTATTCACCCAAATTGTGTTAAAGTGAATTCCTAGTGCCAGAGGCAACCGGAAAGATCCGGAGCAATCGTGACACTTTAGTCGTAACTTGTAGATGCAATTTTTTTTGTATCTTCTATGTTTCTGAATGAAAGCTTATAAGGAAGCTGCGGAAATTTAGCAATTAACACAAGTAATGACATTCTGCCAAAATCATCGGGAACGCCAGTGATGAGGCAACGCGGCGACCGGCCAGCAAATCCAACTAAACCTCACTCGCAAACCATTCCCTTTCCCAGCCTGGCACAATGCAGCAAGGATCACTGGATGTCTGATTCAATCAGTACATGCAATATTCCAGCAACAAAAGGCAGAGAAAGTGCCTTTTCTTTCGCTTGGTAAATTGCAGCTTCTCCCATCTCCATCTTTATCCTGTGACAAACGTTATTCACTGCGGCAGTTCAACAAAGGCCGTACCGAAGATAATAACAGTAAGAACAGAAAAAAGAGACACACAGATGATCTAGATACCATTAGAATTCTGCCTGACTGTGGTGGTAATAATAGATTTTCTTTGAGCCTCTGTCACATTTTTTAGTTTTACTGCCTAATAGTATTTGTCAGTAAAGAATATATAGTGAAGTCTGTAAGTGACTTCAAATTAGGTTTGCTTTTTATGTCCAGTTCTTGCGTTGAAGATTAATAGTGTCTCTTATCAAATAGCTCAAGGGTCCAAACGGGTTTCATTCAAATGAATTTTCAAAGCTGCTCTGATTGCAAATTTAATTGTAACAGGAAGTCACTTGCAGCATGCAATGAGGTGATTTACTTCCCCACTCAGGTAGGCAAAATCAGGCCATTCAGCTTAACCTGTTTTGCCTGCGGCAGTTTTGATTACTTAAGGTCAGCAACAGAGCACTAACTACAGAGCTAATAGTTTAGGTGTTCTCCCAACTTGTGACACGCACGAACGTGCAGAATCATCAACCGCTGATGCCCATTCATTTTGGCGTCTGTGTGGTTATTCAGTGACAAATCCCTATGTTAATACAACAACTATTTGTATAGTGACCTTCACGCGGGGCAGCGTCTCAGAGCACTTTACCTCTCTGCCTCACCCTGAACTCCAGGACTACTAGCGTCCTGACCGACTACCTGTCCGACATCAAGTCCTGGACGAGGCCCTCCTGATTGGCTCACGCCAGCGCCTCCGCACCTCAGGCGTTGGCAGCATCAGCCTCCATGGCTGCACACTCAACCTCACTAAGCCAGTCAGGAACCTGGGTGTCTTGTTTGACTCTGAACTGTCCTTTCTCTCCCACATCCGCGCCATGACCGGCACTGCCTACCACCACCTCCGCAACATTGCCAGACTCCGCCATTGCCTCACCCCTCAGGCTGCCCAAACCCTCACCCAAGCATTCATCACCTCAAGGCTCGATGACAGGAACTTCCTCCTCATCGGCCTTCCCAAATCTTCCCTTCACAAGCTGCAGATCATCCAAAACTCTGCAGCTTATGTACTCTCAAGCCTAGGCTCCGTGACCTCATCACTCCCACCCTCGCCCGACTCCACTGACTCCCCATCCCCCAGAGGATCGAATTCAAGATCCTCATCCTCACCTTTAAGGCCATGCATGGCCTTGCCCCCTCCTACCTCTCTGACCTGCTGAGTCCCTACCAACCTGCCCGCTCCCTCCGTTCAGCGGTCTGCTCCATGTTTCCCGCCTGACCCGCCCTATCATCGGTGGCCAGACTTTCAGCCTCTCTGCCTCCACACTCTAGAACTCCATCCCATGGTCCCTTCGCCTCGCTTCCTCCAGTGCCTCCTT